GGGAAGAATTCATTACAATGTGAATGGGATCTAGCCACAAATTGATGAGATCTGTATGGTAAACACTTTTCATGCTGTTGTGCTTTGCACATATCTGCCTAGGTACTGAACTTACATTCCTAGCCATTCTTCAGCATTTTATGTTCTGTCTGGTTCTTGAGATGTTTGACTTCTACAGCAAGATAAGGCAGACTCTTTCTTGCACTGTGCCTTGAGTAAAGATGCTGCTCTAGAAACCTTGGATCTTATGGTATTTAATTTGACTTGCTTATAAAATTGAAATCTGGCTTATCATATGTCTGTTGCTTTCCTGTAAAGGTGAAAGGGAAAATTATAGAAGCCTTCATTTTCTTAAGAAAAATAAGTATGAGTTAATCAATGTTTTGCAGTTTGAGTTTTCTCCAACTTCACAAGAGTGTCTTTTCCCTAGAGATTTGGTGTTTCTGAAACCATGAACAAAGACCATATTTTATTTGCCTCTACTTCTATATCTCTTTGTCTAGAGTTGTCAAGTTACTGTTCTATTGGGTCAATGTGTATATTTATTTCCTAGGGCTGCCATAAGAAATACAACAAACCAAGGTCTCCCTGGTGGTACAAGGGGTTAAAGTCTCAGCATTATAAAGTTATTGCCAGCCACTGCAGCACAAGTTCAATCCCCAGCAAGGGAGCTGACCCACATGATGCAGCAAACCTCTTCTGTCTTTCTCGCTTCTCCCCTCAGGAGTGTATTTCGGTGGACCTGCCTGTTCTGCTCCCCACTCTGTCTCTGGTGAATCTTCTCACCATGCAGTACCTCTAGCCTACACCCCAGCTCTTGTATGTATGATTTATTCTCCCATGCTTGGAGGCCAGAAATCTAAAGTCAACGAGATTGTACTCCCTCCAAAGACTAGGGACAATTCTGGGTTTGTTTTTTTTTTTTCTCCTCTTTTAGGTTCTGATGACTGTTAGCATTTATTGACTTGTGGATCAATGAATCACACCATTCTCTGCCTCCATGGTTACAGTGCCTCCTTTTTTGTCTTAAATCTCCTTGTGCCTTTCTTTTACAAAGATACTTGTCGGCCCTCCCTGGTGGCGCAGCGGGTTAAAGCACTGCACTGAGAAACTAAAGCCACTTCCACATGAGTTCAATACCCGCCTGCCCCGGAGGTGACCACATGGCATGGCAGACCTCTCCTGACCCGCCCGCTGCTCCCATCAGCAGTGTACTTCATCGATCTGCCTGTTCTGCTTCCCGCTCTGTCTCTGGTGAATCCTCTCACCCTCCGCATCTCTGGCCTGTACCCCAGTTGTGTATGAATAAATAAATAAATCTTTAAAAAAAAAAAGATACTTGTCACTGGATTTAGAGCCCACTTGGATATTCCAGGATGATCTCTTCATCTCAGAAGGCTTAAATTAATTATATCTGCAAAGATCTCTTTTCCAAATAAGATAATATTCACAGGCCTCAGAAATTAGAATGTGGACATATCTTTTGTGGGGACCACCATTCAACCCACTACACTATGCTTCCAGACTACATAGGAAACAGTGCAGAACAGATATTCATGAGCAATTATATCAAGTATAAAGATATGATTTATGTGATAGATGATGTGGCATTATTAAGCCTCAAGCATACTTTGTAGTCAATTGATTTATTTTGTTAAGTATCACATGGGAAATAATGAAATATTTTAGGAGGCTGAAAAACAGTTGGCTGTATTTTTTCCAAATCTAAAGTCGGCTTTCCCACTGCAGTGTCTTTCCCAAAGAGAGTAAGTAGTTCAGCACAATTGTAAATTGCTACCACCACTTATCCACTAGTACATTAAAGGCAATCTAAGTAATTTATAGTGATCAGAGTGTTCAGTATAATAGTGATTCAGTGTCTTCCACTAGCCACCCAGAACACTGAGCTCTGTGCAAAACATGTCAAGTAGATGTGTCTGTGGTCCCCTTACCCCTTTATATAAAGCATCATATAATACAACACTAGTTTTTGTTTCCTGTAGACTTTTCACTTTCTCCCTGCAGAGCATCCAATTAACTTTAATTGGATAAGAGTCTTGGTAGGTAGGTCATTTTGGTGCTACCTAGCCACCTAGGTATACTTCCCTATTTTTCTCAGGTCATATTATGCATTCTGCATCTCCCCCAAGTGAAACCAACAGACATTTGCAGAGTTGTGCCTACAAAGTAGCAAATGTAACGAGGCCTTACTGATTTGAGGCCTTACTGATTTAAACGTGTCACATGAGTATGTGGTAGTTGAGTCCCATATTCTATGTAATGTTACCTTAAACAGAACTGCTGACAATTAATTGCTTTATTGGATCATGCTGTGCCCCTAGTTTCAATGTTACATAGTAGTGTTTTTCTTCTGAGAATTTTTACTATCATTAAAGGCTAAAATATCTACTTGATAGCATCACTTCCTTTGATCTGCCAGAAATGTACACACATGTATCTCCAACCTGCAAATAGTTGTTTGACTTTTTTTCAGAATTAGAAATTAGTAGGTGAAGTATAAACCAATGTACATACGTATACTACTTTTTTTTAAGATTTATTTATTTGTGCATACAGAACTGGGGTACAGGCCAGAGGTGCAGGAGTGGTGAGAGGAATCACCAGAGACAGAGTGGGGAGCAGAACAGGCAGATTGACAAAGTACACTGCTGAGGGGAGCAGCAGGCGGGTCAAGAAAATGCCGCGCCATGTGGATCACCTCTGGGGCAGGGATTGAACTCATGCTGAAGTGGCTTTAGCTTCCTAGTGCTGTGCTTTAACCCACTGCACCACCAGAGAGGGCCACATATGTGCACTACTTTTTTTTTTATAGCAGTTTATTTTTACATCATTTTGTACATTTTTTTCCCCATCTCAATTGTAATCCCCGTGGGTTTCCCATGTATACTACTTTTTTTAAAAATTGCTTTCTTTATGCATAACTGGGGTACAGGACAGAGGTGTGGAGGGTGAGAGGAATCACCAGAGACAGAGTGGGGAGCAGAAGAGGCAGATCAACTGAAATACACTGCTGAGGGGAGCAGCAGGCTGGTCAGGAGAGGTCTGCTGCATTGTGTGGGTCAGCTCCTGGCCAGAGATCCACTCGTGCCGCCAGTGGCTTTGGAGAGCTTCATAGTACTGTGCTTTAACCCATTGGCCCACCAGGAAGAGCCTGTACATATACTCCTTTTTATGGTAAATGACTTTTTATTTATATTCTTTCTTTTTTGTTTAATAATACTTTTTTCCCCTTACAATGTGTGCCTTCCTTTCTCAGGTGTAGGCCCCATAAAGTTTCTATACCTGTTCACACATGCACCATCACCATAGTCCCTTGTACTCTTCCCACCCTTGTTTGGTCCCTCTCCTTACCCCTCCCCTACAGAATGTCTCGATTTATAGTTGTCTGCTTATTTTTGCTTTGTTTTGTTGTGGATTTTGTTGTTATTTTTTTTCCTTTATCCCTTGTATTCCTCCTATATGTGAGACCATCTGGTGTTTTTTATTTTCTTTCTGACATTTCACTGAGCATAACCCCTTCTAGCTCCATCCATGTTGCTGTGAATGTCATTAGTTTACCCTTTTTTGATTGCTGAATAGTACTCCATTGAGTATATATACCACATCTTCTGGATCCGGTCATCTATTTTTGGGCATTTGGGTTGTTTCCAAGTTGTACTTACAATAAATATTCTGCAATAAGCATAGGGGTGCATGTATTCTTTTGAATTAATGCTTTTTATTTAGCCTTTGGGTAGATCCCTAGGAGTGGAATTTCTGGAGATTGGTGTTCCAGTTTTAGTAGTTTGAGGAACCTCCACACAGCTTTCCATAGAGGTTGGACTAGTTTGCATTCCCACCAGCAGTGTAGGAGAGTTCCTTTTCACCACATCATTGCCAACATTTGTAGTTGCTGGTTTTTTTGTTTTTTTTTTAAATACCATTCCTGGCCCTCCCTGGTGGCGCAGCGGGTTAAAGCACAGCATTGAGAATCTGAAGCCACTTCCGCATGAGTTCGATTCCCGCCTGCCTCCTGCCCCGGAGGAGACCACATGGCGAGCCAGACCTCTCCTGGCCCGCCCGCTGCTTCCCTCAGCAGTGTACTTCGTAGATCTGCCTGTTCTGCTCCCCACTCTGTCTCTGGTGAAAACCTCTCACCGCCCCTGAGCCTCTGGCCTGTACCCCAGTTCTGTATGCATAAATAAATGAATGAATGAATGAATGAATGAATGAATGAATAAATAGATAGATAAATAAATAAATAAATAAATAAATAAAATACCATTCCTACTGGTATAAGGGGGTATCTCATTGTGTTTTTAATTTGCATTTCTCAGATTGAGGGATATTGAACATTTTTTCTTGTTCCTATTGGCTATTTACATTTTTTTCTTTGGAGAGAAGTGTTTTAAGTCTTCTGCCCATTTTTTAAAAAGATTTAGTCATGCATACAGAAGTAGGGTACAGGCCAGAGGTGCAGGGACAGTGAGAGGATTCACTAGAGACAGAATGGGGCACAAAACAGGCAGAGTGACTGAAATACATTGCTGAGGAGAGCGGCAAAGGACACAGGTGATGTCCACTGCACCATGTAGGTCACTCCCTGGCCAGAGATCAAACAAAGCTCCATCCAGCTTTGTTGTGCTGCACTTTTTTGTGTGTGCGCCACAAGATGTCTTTCTTGTTGGAAGTCTTGAGTGGGTGGGAATGTGGCTTCAAAAGGAGGATAGGGCTTCCCTGAAGGTCTAAGGGTTAAGTCTAAGCACTAAGGCCTGAGTTCCACAGATGGCACAGCAGACCTCTCCTTTCCTACCCATTGTTCCCCTTAGCAGTGTATTTCAGTAAATCTACCTGTTCTACTCCCCACTCTGTCTCTGGTGTATCCTCTTACCACCTGCATCTCTGGCCTATACCCCAGTTCTTCTACACAAAAATAAAAAGGATATTTTATGGTGTTGCTGTTAAAGTGATAGCCTTCTCAAGGTGCCATGTCTTCCCAGGTGTTCCGGAAGGACCTCATCAGTGCCATGAAAATTCCAGACTCTCACCATGTTAATCCTGACAGCTATTACCTCTTTGCGGATACATGGAAGGAAGAATGGGAAAAGGGAGTTCAGGTACCAGCCAGTCCAGACACTATTCCACAGCCTACTATCAGGTACTTGTATGCTTATATCTTAAATTTAGAGAATGAATGCTGTTGTGGTTACCTGCTTTTGCTGCATGGGAAGAGATATTGAGTGGATGGATTACTCATACCAAGAAACAGGATCTCTCCTTGATCAAGGACAACCAGTAGATGCCAGCACCAAGATGACAAAGATTCTAGAATTGTCTAACAAAGATTTTAGAGCAGCAGTCACAATAATGTTATCAGTGAAAAGTTATGAACACACTTGAAGCAAATGAAGTTATATTACCCCCTCTCCTAATAATTGGCAATTTTTATCTCCCCTTTTTTCTTACTACAGGTTAGTTTTATTGATAATTACACAAAACTTTTTTTTCCTCATGTCAATCCTACTACTTACTTTGTGCTTATTTTGCTCTTGCTTTTCTAGTTTCTTGAGTTGGCAATTAGTTTACTGATTTGAAACTTTTCCTTTTTTCCATTCTAAGCATTAAGTGTTACAGATTTTGTTCTCAGAACTGCTTTAGTTGTGCTTCTCAAATTTTTTCTTGTTTTTTAAATTTTTATTGTAGTATCATTAGCTTACAACACTGTATATGTTTAGAGATACAAGATCACACCCTGCAGGTTTATGTTTCCACAGTGCATCCACCATAATCCTCCATCAGAGTCCATTTTGCTCCCGTCTCAAGTTTACTCCACTTCTCCCCTCCCCTGCCCCAGAGCTTCAATTCTGTAGTCAGATTTCTAGGGTTTCTTACTGACTTGGGTTTATCTGACCCTTTGCTTTGTTTCTCTGTATTTCACATATAAGTGAGACCATCTGCTATTTTTTTTTTTTTACTATTTTATGTTGTTTGTGTATGTGTGTGTGTATTGGTTGTAATCCCCATGGACTTCCCACCACCAATTCACCTATGTGTCATCACCATAGTCCTGTGCACTCTTCCTGCCCCAGTTTTGATCCAGTTCCCCTCTCCATACCCGTAGAGTGTGTCTGGTTTATAATTGTTTGGTTATTTTTGTTTTTACTTTATTATAATTGCTTTTTTATTTCTTTATCCGATCCCTTCCACTCCTGCTATGCGTGAAACCATCAGTATTTTTCTTTTTCTTTCTGGCTTATTTCACTGAGCATGGTCCCTTCCAGCTCCATCCATGACACCACAAATGGCATGAGTGTATCTTTTTTTGATTGCTGAGTAATACCCCATTGTGTATATGTACCGTACCCTCTTGATCCAGTCATTTATTTTCAGGCATTTGGGTTGATTCCACATCTTCTCTATTGTAAATAGTGCAGCAGTAAACATAGGGGTGCAGGTGTCCTTTTGAATTTATTTTTGTGTCCTTTGGGTAGATACCTAAGAGTGGAATTGATGGATCATATGGAAGCTCCATTTTTAGCAGCTTGAGGAACCTCCACACAGCTTTCCATGGTGGTTATACCAGTTTGCAATCCCACCAGTAGTGTAGGGTGCTCCTCAAATTTTGATGTATTGTATTTTCATTCTTGTTTACTTCTCTGTATTTTTTTCCCCATGAGACTTCTTTTACCCATAGATTATTTAGAACAGTAGTTTTAGTTTCCAGGTGTTTGGAGATTATCGTCTTTCTGTTCCTGTTTTCCACCTTGATTCCATTGTCACTAAAAAATATACTCTGTATAATCAAAGTTTATTCAAAATTGTTGAGGCTTGTTTTATGACCCCAGATATGACCTGTCATAATACATTTTCCATGCGTGCCTGAAAACACAACATATGCTGCTGCTATTGTGGAGAGTGATCTATAAATGTCAGTTTAATTGTGTTAGGCGATGGTATTGAGTTCTCCTATATCCTTAATGATTTTCTGTTTACCCACTCAATTACTAAGCAAGGTTGAAGTCTCTAGCCGGCCATTTCTCTTTTCAGGTAGTCATTTTTTATTTCACATATTTTACAGCACTGTTGTTTAGTGCACATACATTTTACTATTGTTATGTTTTGTTCGAGGGTTGATCTGTTATTATATAATATGTTCCATTCCCTCTTAGTAATATTCTTTAACTGAGGCTATGATCTGCACTTCCCAGATTCCCATGTAGTCTTAGACCCTTCCCACATTGTCTGTCAGCAGAACTCACTTTTTACATGGCAGCTCAGTGCTACAAGAATGAATTTTCGAAGAGATAAGAAGTTGCTATTTCCAGAACTGAGCTCAGAAATATGCACAGTATTATTTACCACTACATTTTATTAGAGAAATCACAGAGTTCCCAGATTGAAGAAGAAAATAGATCCTACCTCTTGACAAAAGGATTGTCAAAGGATTTATGACCATCTTCATCCTATCACAATAGTATTGTTTTAATTGTTTGAATTTGAGTTACTTGTCTCTGCTTAGAAAAGTCTATTGACTACCACAGATAATTTTTTTGCAACTTTACCAAAAAAGGTGGTGGTAATCCTACTTGTTCTAGACTGGATGATTTCAATACTAGTCAATGACAAACAGGCTTCAGATAAATTTATTTTAGGTTTTCATCTGTATTTGTAAATTAACTTTCATTGCAGCAAAATTCTAGTGAAAAGAAAGCAATACTTCATGTTTGAAAGCAAACGTAAGTTGTATGATACACATAGTTATTTAGCTTACATCTATGTGTATGTATTTAGCTTACATGTAGGTGTATGTTTTTAAAGTTATAGATGAATTATTGATTAACTATAAAAGCAAAAATAATCACAGTGTCAAGCATCATCTGCATAGTAAATGTTTATATGTGCACATGTATGTATATATAAGTAAGTGGGATCACTATATGACGTGCTTTTTTGACCTAACAACATACCATCTGGGTCATTAATGATCATTCCATGAAAGAGAGAATGATTAGATATTCAGACAGGACCCTATGTCTTCAAAGAGTACAAATGTTTGACTATCAAGGCTATAAAGAATAGTACTTCATTCACTAAACTCCATACTCAAATATATAACTACTAATTAAATGTTTCTACTTGGATATCCAGTACACAGCTAAGACTTAAAGTGAACTACTGTTTTTCTTCCCAGACTTTGATTCTTTGTTGCCTCATACCTATGTTTAATATTAAAGTAGATCTCTTCACTCAGCTTTCAAGAGATACTCATAGTTCTCACCCCTGTTGATAAATGGGAGCACAAAACTGCCTCCATTCCACAGCTGTATTTGATCATCATGCCTCTTTCACTTCCTCTACTCTCCTCACTCCACTCTTTCCATATCCTTTCTATTCCATTTTAGATAGTAGTAGTCTACCACTCTTAGTTTGAATTATAAGAGTCAATGAGGAGCACAGTATACAGAGCACATCCATAAACTGGCTTGTCTCTATTTAAAGATTAAAGCAGTCCTTTGATGACTTCCAGTTATTATTGCTATAATAATGAATTGTGTATAAGCTTAGCAGTTTCAAGCAACTATGTTATCATACTCGTAGATATCATGAGTCAGGAATTCAGAAAGGGTACAGCAGGGATGGCTTGTCATTGTTCTGTGATATTTAGAACCTGACCTAGTATAAAAAGATTCAAAGGTTGGGAGACTCAGCAGGTAGGGGCTAGAATCATCTGATGTGTTATTCATAAACATGTATGTCACCTGAGCTGGCATCCTGTAAAGACTGTGTGTGACCTCTCCATGCAGTTTGACGTATTCACAGCATGACTTTTTTACAGGCTCCAGACACAGGACTTCCACTTTCCAGCAAACAAAATGAAAACTGTGTCCCCTTTATTGTCCTAGTCCACAATTCTCATAGCATCACATCTAAATTCTGTTGGTGAAAACGATCACAAACCCTCCCTGATTTACGAAAAGGGAAACTAGGCTCCACCACTTGAAGGAGAAATGGCAAAGTCACACTGCAAAAGAGCGTATGGGGTTTTGATAATACCATCTGTTACAGAGGTTAAAATTGTCCCTTGTTTCTTAGTTGAAACAAGAGTCTTACAGAGAAGCTGTCAGCCCAAAGTACAAAATTAAAAAGAAACATTTTGGTAGGCAACTCTCCTGAACACCTGTGACTATGCAGACACTTCTTTTCTTCCTTTTCTAATATACATGTCCTTTTAAATGATAATGATAAATGAAAGAAAAAAGCAAGAAGAAATATTTTGGGAAACTACTAGAGAGATTATTTCAAAGGACTACTATTTAGTTAGCTTTTAAGACATTTCAAGCCTTTAAAAATCCCTGATATTATGGTATCTGCAATTTCTGTGCCGTTCACAAGTGATTCTGATCCACTCATAAGGAAATATAACAAGTTCTCTGTCAAATATTTAGATTATCTGAAGATAAAATGATGACTCACACTGCTTAAGACACTGGAGGAGCCGTAGGTCAGGTTAAAATGGTTGCTGCTTCCACTTATTGCTTCCCCCATGTCACAGCAGTGTCCATATTGACCACAAGTAGTTTTTTTGCAGCCATGCTAGCTTAATCCTGATGAACAAGTGGATAGGCCTTCTTTCTATGAGATTAAAAGAGGTGTAATTGTTGCTCCTTTCACCTTCTCAGAAATTGTGTCATTTAGTTACACTTAAAGTGTCCAAATTAAAGTTGTATTTACTGTGTCATCCTAACAATCCTATTGCTGATTTGGTCAGTGGTCTGCTGACCATTCAAGGTATGTCTCTACACATTATTGAATAATACAATCATAATGAGCAGAGGAGCTAAGTAGGCATGTCTGCAAAAAAGACATACAGCTGACCATCAGACACATGAAAAAATACTATAATTTATCGCCAAGATACCACCTCACTCCTGTGAAAATGATCTGAGTCAAAAAGCCCAGAAACAACAAGGTCTGGCAAGGGTGTGGGAAAAAGGAATCTTTTTACACGGTTGGTGGGAATATAGACTGGTCCACTCCCTATGGAAAGCAGTGTAGAGGTTCCTCAAAAGACTAAAAATTAGTCATATGACTCAGCAATCCCACTCCTAGGTATGGATCAAAAAAAAAATACAAAAACAGTAATTCAAAAAGAAACCTGCACTCCCATGTTTTTAGCAGCAGTATTTGTAGTAGCCAAGATATGGAAACAACCTAATAACAAAAAAAAAAAAAAAAAGATGAGAGATTTAGAAGATGTGGTATGTATAAACAGTGGAATATTACTCAGCAATCAAAAAAGAACATAAGCTCATGCCATTTCCAGAAACCTGGGTGGAGCTGGAAGGAATTATACTAAATGAAATAAACCAAAAGTTAAAAGATAAATACCAAGTGGTACCACTTATGTATGGAACGTAGAGAAACCAAACAAAGGGTCAAAGTCAAATTTTTGAAAACTGACCATTGATCTTAGGCTTTCAGAAGGAAAGGGGTGAAAATAATATGGAAAACACAGTGGGTTATGGGGAAGTCTGTAGGGACAGTTCTATATAATCAAAACATTAGCAAGGATATAAAATAATGGTAGTTCAGTAACAATAAAAAATAATCTTCAAAAAGTATCTACCTAGTTCATAGTGGGCAGAGAAGAAAATTACTCAGGTATAATTATGGTATCTCCTCCAGCTATAGCAGTGTTACATGTACCTGGAAGATACTACAGGTGTATTTTTAAAAATCCCAAATTGATATTTTTTCCTAACTCATAGACTTTTCCTTTTTTTACCTTTACAAGAATTTCTCCTGAATTTGTATTAACTACACCTTTTACACATTTCCTTGTCTTTGATATTATTATTTCAATCTGTAGTTTTTATTGTTATAAACTGAGTACTCAGATTCAGACTCTTAGTTCAAAATACATACGAAAAGATAGTGAGATAGCATCATTATTATCAATTTTGCATTGAAGTATAATCTACACACAGAAAAGTACACAAAGCATAACTGCACAGCTCAATGAATTTTCATGATTTAATAATATAATTTAACTTCCACTCAGACCACAAAATAGAACATTATCCTCGCCAGAAGCCCTGCTTCAATTTAGATTACAGTTTTGAGCTTAATATAAATAAAATCCTACAATATATATTCATCTGAGACTGGCTTTTATTTTTGTTACTTTCCTTTTTGAGATAATACTGGTTTACAACATTGTTAATAGTTTATGGGAATAGGTTTATACCTCCTCAGATGTTGGTTATATCATCCCAACCACCATCAAAACACCCATAGTCCTTTACCCTAGGCCAGTGTACCCCCTCCTCTCTTTGTTTCTACCTCCTTTCTCTTCCCCATTCAGTAACCTTAATTCCACAGAGCTTGGGTTCTGTTCATCATGGTTGTGAGATTCATATTATATGTAGTAGTTCATTAATTTTTAGTTACAAGAAGAATAATGAAAATGTGTATTTTCTCTAAAAATCTTGCAGACCTTGCACCCAAGAACCAGGCATATTTAATCTCATAGTCACTGGGAAATTCATATGTATGTCTTATCCTTATTTCAGTTGAGTTCATTTCAGTTGGAAGCAAGTCTTTAAAAGCAGTTACTGACTTTTTAATTTCAATTAATATTTTAGATTCTGCTTTTTTCCTCAAATATGTATTGCCTTTGGCTTAAAAAAAGAAAACTCCATATGGTAGAAAATTTAAATGTGCAAATATGTGTGATTATTAACTGTCTTCAACATACATTATTTGGAGTATAAGTTTTTAGAAGAATGCTTAGGAGGAAATATTTATATTTATAGGGTAGCCTTTTCCTGTATATATTTGTATGTATTTCTGTGGGTATATTTAGGTTTATGTACCTTCTCCATGTATAGTTACTTGCGCCAGAAGCCTTCCAGAGAAACATTTTTCATTATTTTATGATGACATGTATGTCTGTTTCTTTATTTTTTTAGATGGCCTATTCTGTTCTTTAAAATTGCCAGGCAATAATAATACATATATATTTTTGGTGATAATATCTGGTGCTTTGTATCATATCTAAAGTATTAAGTGTAGAAAAAGTCATTGGAATGAGAAACTTCTGTTTCTTCATTTGCTTGGTTTCCTTGTCTGGTATCAGGAGGGGTGAAGGGAAACAGATTTGTTCAGGCTGATGGAGAAGTAGGTCGAAAAACAGGAATCTTTCATTCCTCATGTTACCATTACTAAAACTGCTGGTTGCTGTTTATGTTCGGGAAATACCTTGAATTTGAATAACTCCATGGCCCCATCTGAATAAATGGTGAAAATAGTAAGAAATATAACAGTAATGACATTATTGAGCTATTTTTTACTATATATTACGCTAAGCACTTTTTATGTTTATTTCATATAATGCCATAATAGCCCTAATGGTTTGATATTATTTTATCATAACTTATAATTTATTGTCCTTATTCTTTAGCTGAGAAAGCTGAATTCTATAGAAATTAACTTTCAAGATAACTATGCAAGTGAGTGACAGAGAAAACAGGCTTGTTGTGAGTCTCTAGCCTGTATTCTACCACCATCCAGTATTGCCTCCATGGCAATAGTCACTAGTTTAGCTGAAATATATCTTTGGTATGGAATCTGGCTGTCTCTCTGTATAAGCATCACCTCTTCCCAGGATTCCCCTTCTAAATAAACAGGGTAACCTTTGCACCAAGAACACCAAATACAAAATCATTTTATTAGAATGATGGTAGTAGAAACCTAGGAACCATGAGGATAAATGAAGCATTTTGTTAGCAGAGTGTTTATAGCAGGTGATGAAAAGGAATTGATACAGCCATTTACTTTCTTGAAAGACATCTGCTGTATCTCCAAGTTGGCAGAGCAAGGAATTTCCCAAAGGTGGAAAAGGAAGACATTTAACTTCACTGTAGTGGAGCCTGAGTGCTGTTAAGCCCATCCAGTCATTTCCTGGAATCTGTCATTTGTTGATCATTATCAATATCTTTCTTTTACTTTTCTAGAATTACAGCAGAGAAGATAAAGGAGGTTCTCTTTGTCCGACCCCGTAAGTACATCCACTGCTCCAACCAAGAGACTGCAGAGCCTGGCTACATCAACATCATGGAGTTGGCAGCATCTGTGTGCCGCTATGACCTAGATGACATGGACATCTTCTGGCTCCAGGAACTCAATGAAGACCTTGCACAAATGGGTAAGTTGTTTTCTCACAAGTGTGTTGTTCTTCAACTAAACTAAATATTTTTTAAGTTGTTAGGACCATTTAACTTGCTTTCATACTGTGACTCCGTTTTCTCTGGACTTTTCATTTATTTTCTCTTTGATGTTATTTTAATGAGGCATTTCTTAAAATGCACAAATGCCTTGAAATAGAGCAACAAAATTTAAATCTGACCTTTTCTTTCTTCACTATAGGGAACAGTAGAGATCAGGGATAGCATGTAAGTCTCATGAGGTTGTTTCCCAATTCTGAGAGTTAGTGGTCTTAACTGGTTGGATTTCTGATTGGAAGGATTCTGAGGCTAGTTCCTGACTCAGCCCTAAATAGAACTCTGATCAACAAGCAGGCCAGGGGTAGCAATACCTCTGTCATCTCTCTCAGCCTCATGGAGAGAAAAGAAACTCCAACTTCAGCATTAGGCAGTCCCGCTGCAACTGCAGTTTTATGTGACCCATACTCTTCAATGCAAGACTTATAATTTTGCTGCACTGAACAATAATGACAGGCCTAGAACAAAACATCCCTAGAGTAGTTTTTAACTACCTCTAGTGACTTCTAGAGTTATCATACAGTTCTCAAAAAATAAAATGAAGCAGAAACAAGCAAACAAAATTCGGAAGTAAATGTAATTTTAAAATAAATTTATAGTATATAAATTCCAATGCTTGGAAACTGTTAAGATGAAAGGAAACCCTTTATATTTACATGTCTCTTTTCAACCTGCCGTCACTTTGAGCAGTGTTTAGATCCAAGTGGTTCTTTGTAACTGTGGGTCATCTTTTTTTTTTTTAAGTCTCCATATGAGAGATGAAAAGACTTCATTTGATTTTGTTTTTGTTTATGTCACAGTATTAGTACAACAAGAATCGACAGGTTTTCCTTTTCCCTCCCCCCTTTTCTTTCTTTCAAGGATCTAAACACAGGTGAATAGAAAATTAATTTTTTTAAACCCAGTTTGGCATAATGGTGGTTATTTTTCTGCCAGTAACTAATACTTACGCCTTGTTTTTAAGAGCTTTCATTTTATAGCTTCTCTTGGATTGCCCTCTCAGAGAAGGAGGTCAATTTAGAGTAGGAACTAAAAATTTAAAGAAATAAAAGGCTGACAGAGAAGGAATATTGTTATGAGGGAATATGCAAGTAGATTAATGATACAGTGATAGTTGTTTATGAACCTTATCATCCATATCATCCATATACAATTATTACCGTGCTGCCTTCAGCATGGAGCAAGTTCCCTTTAGTATTTTGCAGTTAATTCCCTTTGGATGAGTTTGTTTTTTTTTTTAAATAAACTTATTTTGGGAAATAGTTTTAGATTTACAGAGAAGTTGCATGATTAGTACACTTAATCTTCACACAGTGTCTCTGATGTTAACATCTCTTTTTATCATTGGTACATTTGTCAAAGGTAAGAAACCCATATAGGTACATTGCCATTAAATTCCAAACTTTATTGAGCTTTCACCAGTTTTTCCACCTTTTTCTGTTCCCGGATCCCATCCAAGATACCACATTGCTTTTAGAGTTGGAGGAATTATAAAAGATTGCCGTAAGTTTTTCTATAGGGTGAATGACATTTTAGTGAGACTTCAGAGAGCTTAAACTAAAAATAACATTCAGTTGAGCAGTGTAAGGAATTTTAAAATTACTTACTACATATTAAACATTACATGAACATTACCTCACCTCAGCGTCATAAGAAATTAGTGGGTCTGGTATTATCATTATTTTCTAGATAAAGAAACAAAGGCCTTAAAAGAATAAATGACTTGTCAAAATTTATATAACCAATATAAAATGAAATTAGTGTTTGAATCCAAGTGTTCTTCTAACCAGACATCACTCCAGGAAAAAAAAATGAATGTGCAGTTTTCTTGCCTGGAAAAATGAGGCATAGTACTTGGGTAGTTTTGGGTTTCATAGGTAGCTATATCATTAAAAATGTAGTTTATGTGGAATTTCAGTGTTCTTTATATCTTATATTGCAAATGAGGTTGAGTACTTGGATAAATTTGTTTTGGATTTTGAGACATATTCTTGAGTTTGTAAGCTGTTAAAATAAATACCTGTGTTCTCTCATAAAATTATTAGTTCCCCAAAGAAGAAAAAGTTTTAGTTGTTACCATTATCCACCATATGAAATTTTTTAGTATGGAAGACTAAGAAGAATTAAAAGTATATAAAAGGAAAAACATGAATTAAGAGACAAAAAAGTAACTTCAGAATTTGTGAATGCTAATAGACTTATTTGTATTATAGTTTGCCACTAGAAAATATTGCGAGATTTTTTAAAAGTGAGGTTTGAGAAATAAAATATTTTATATGTATAATTAGATAATCATAATTTCTTTTATAGTGTCATACTTTTTTATATGAAAATTTTTTGTATTACTATTAGATGTGCTCATTGGGACTAATATGCTAAAATTTAAATACTACATCCCAATAGTTAGATTCTGGTTATTACCATGCTATAAACTAAGGTGTTCAAAATTGCAGAGTTCTGTCAAAGTTCTCCCTGATGGGAATAAGAGGAAACAGAAAGATTTAAAGGATATTGACTAAGAATTAGAAAATTTAAAAAAAAAAAGAATTAGAAAATTTAAAGGGTCAGTATTATATCTCATAAGATGTATAGTAAAATGTATCCCTTCTTTCATGTATCAGAAACTAATATGTAATGATAAGTAAATACTAGAATAGTTCTTAACACTTTGGTTAGAGGGTGAGTGAAGTATATGCACATATGGAAGTATACTACCAAAATCTTACAGTTATGTAAATGATTTAGAAAATCGGTTAAATTGGCATGAGTTTGAAATCAGGTTGTTTTGGATCGGGGGAAAGATGATTTTATCCTTTACAGTTCCTCCAACCCCTTCACTGGCCTCACAGTAGGTGAGCAGAGCAGGTGGCAATGACAGCTCACTTACAGATTGATTGATTGTATTTTTGTGCAGGTTGTGGGCCAGTTGATGAGAATCTTATGGAAAAGACAATAGAAGTCCTGGAACGCCATTGCCATGAAAATATGAACCATGCTATTGAGACCGAGGAAGGACTAGGTATAGAGTATGATGAAGATGTGATCTGTGATGTGTGCCGGTCGCCAGACAGCGAAGAAGGGAATGATATGGTGTTCTGTGATAAATGTAACGTCTGTGTGCACCAGGTTAGTGACAGTGGAGACCACCACCCACCCCCATTGGTTAGCCTTTCTAAAGCTAAGTAATGATCTCTAGCATCCATATCTGTGGTAGCAGCTTGCAATTAAGGGTGAAAATAAGATTTGGTCTATCAATAATTTCTTTAGAAGCAGTACTTCCTTATGATCAACCAGGTGACTTACTGGCTTTACCCCAAAGGCTAAACCCATGTATTTATTGTGTCACTTCATACCTATACCATTGAGACTGCCTTGTTCAATACTGCTAAGGTTCCCTGTGGAGCCTCTTTGCTTCCTGGCTAGGAGTCCCTCTTCCTCAGTCAAATTCCTGTTACATCATCAGGTAACCTTGGTGAGTTTATACTTTCTACAGCTGGAAGGTCTGAATTCCTTATCCTGGTACCCAGAGTCCTCTTTTGTCTCCCAAATATCCCATTCAAGGCTAGGTTCATTCCACTTTTAAATATTATAGAATTTTAAGACTGTGAAAAGCACTCCTATATCTGTTTCAACCATAATATACCAGGAGAGGTAAAGTGACTTTGCCCAAGCTTTTACATCTATTTATTTGTTCTTTCTACCATGCTGCCCTTTTAATTTAATTGTGATTATATCTACATTTTTAAAGATTTGTTTTTATTTATTTATGCATACAAGATCTGGGGTGTTAGGCAAGGGGCACAGGAGGTGAGAGGATTCACCAGAGACAGGAAGGGGAGCAGAACAGGCAGATCTATGAAATACTCTGCTGAGGGGAGCAGCGGGCAGGACAGGAGATGTCTATTGAGCTATGTGGGTTAGCTCCCTGATAGGGGATCAAACTCATGCCAAAGGGGCTGACCATAGCCTGATTGTGCAAGACTTTAACCCCTGTACCATATCAACCTTCTTTTCAGTTCTTTCCTTTTCTTTCTGAACAACCACTATGTTCCTGTGAAACAAGGTTTTCGGGGAGTAGTGATAAGCACTCTTGACGTCATCCTATCTCCATATTTCAACTGTTTCCCAATTTAATGTCTTCTCCTACCTCCAGCTATCCAAAGTCCATGTTTCTTCTAAGATCTAATTCAAATCCTTTCTTGAACTCCCTAACCTTAAATGGTTTTCCTCTCTCCTGAACCTGTTCTATTTCATTCATTTTATTGACTTAACAGAATAAAGAAATACAAAGCACCATCTGTGTGTTAGTTCTGTGCTGCGTGGTGGGGAAACATTCAGTGATGAAAAAGCAGGCATATTTTTGCCCTCAGAAAGATCAGAGCCTCTGGTGTAAGGAGTACAAGCAAACTGCCATTCAGCATAGTATGTCAGGTTTTTCTGGATCTGAAAGTTCATACTGCTATGGAAGTACATGGGAGGTCTGGGACTGGGGAAAATTTCCAGGAGGAGCATCCAAACTCAAATTTAAATGGCCAGAAGGAAATGCCAGATAAAGCCTATGTTCAGGCAGAGAGGAGAACATATTCAGACATGGTGGTTAAAGTGGGCAGAATATGTTGGAAGCAACTCAGAAGTTCAGCAGTGTGGAGAGTGGTGGGGTGGAATAGGGAAGGTGTGGAGAAAGAGGATAAGAGGAATATGAGGGATTGTGTGGAAGGCCTTCTCTAACAAACTAAGGAAGTTCAGCTTTGTCCTTTCAGCCAGGACAGATTTTGTCTTTCGAGCTACATAATGACTGAAATGATTTAATATAACACAAGAGGTAGGAACTAAAACCAAGGCTTAAGACTTGAATTCCCTGGGTGACCTAACCTATTAGAAAGTACTCAAATTATTCTTTAACCAATTGGGACATTTTCCTTATTTTACTTGGCATTCACCAAGTAAATCTTGGTGAATCACATCTTTAGTGGAGAGAGAAAAATCTTTAACATTTAAGCATTAAGGATCTTGAGAACACAGGTACATAGTCCCTCTTTACATTTCCAAATTTTAAAGCTCTCAAATTGAAAGTTTTTGCTTAACTTTGACACCACAACTAATTTGGGGGGCAATACTAGATCTTACTCAGTGTGAAGCTATTTATAATCTGTTCCATTTGTGTAATGATTAAACAGTAGTGCCCCTCCTTCCATTGGTGGATTAGGCAGTGTACCATCTATATGCTTTGTAACTTTCCTAAAATCTTAAAAATTTTCAGGTTTCTCATTTTTTTTTCTCACCCTATAGTTTTTAGATAAATGATTGTGGATTTGTCATAGGCTTAGAGGAAATGGTTATCTGTGTTTGTCCTTTGTAAAGTTGAGACAAAATGCCAAGAAATTATTTTCAGGTCCTTGGACTCGCAAATTGAAGTTTAGTATAATCATTTTCTTCAAAGGTACTTTAACCATTTTTAAAACATATCCAGTATTGATTGTAAATGATGCCCTTCCTCACAGGAAAAGAGACGATGTTAACACCTGGTCAGGCCTTGTAGATTATAAGCTGGTATATTTTAAAGCTGAATGTTGGTGCCAGTTTCATAGATTTCTTCCAAATTGAGCACATGAATTCTAAAGGGCGTCTTAGGTTAGAGCTCCCTCTGCTGACTTAAAAGTGACTGGACGATTTCATTTACCCCTTTAATAGAATTGTGAACATGTTGTCACCTGTATTTATTAAACATAATTTTTTTCTTTACTCCCACCATGTTATTCCAACTTGTCCTTTGTGACTATAATACACTTATAGTCAGTAATTTGAAGAAAGGTTTAGAATTTAACAATGAACTTAATTTTTTTTTTCATTAAAATATGAAAATTGAGACCATCTCACATCCTTCCATATGTTCCACTTTCTGTATCTTAGCCCAGATAGTGAGGCCTCAAACTTATTCCTAAATTAATTTTCCTGAAGATATATGCTCATAAATTTTATACTTGTCATATAGGTAATATTTGGCACTGGCTTTTTAACCACCTGGAATTATATGTAAAACATATGTCCATTAATTTGTGTCATTTTCTTGGAAGAGACCACAGCCTTCACTATTTTGTGGTTGAAAACCGCTATAGAATATAAGTTTCTGTGGTTTTCTGACCATGAATAAGTCTATATAAAGGCTCAGTAAATTATTTTCTACCCAATTGAATGGTTGGAAGATAAAGGATATTCTTAGAACCAGCCAATGGTTTTTCTTCTGCTGGTTTAAAGGAAACTATTATAAGGAGTACATTTGCTTTCATTTCCTTAGCAAACTTTCTGAATCTCAGAGAAAGAAAATCTTTGAAGGTTAGGCACCTTATACAGTGATGCCCTGTTGTCGCAAGAGTTTCCAAGTTAGAGTTCAGCATCAGTCCTTTACCTTGTGAGGGAAACTAGGCAGGATCAAGAAGTAGAGCAGACTCAAGGAGTTAGAGTCACCTGAAAAGTGGGTGAGGAACATCAGGCTTTAGATCAATGACCAGCAAACTTTCTTCAAAGGTTTGAATAATAAATATTTTAGACTTTCAGGACCGCACATACAGTTCCTGTTACATATCCTTTTTATTAATTCCCTTTTAAAATATGAAAAATATTCTTAGCTTCTTGGCTTTGCAAAATACTTTGCAAAGTACTGGCTTGCCAACCTCTGGTTTTGATTGGGGGGTAGGAGAGGGATTTCTAGAGTTCATTTTTATGCAGTGGTATGAAATCTTTGTTTTAGTAAGAATGTGACAGTTACTTAGAGGAAGGATTGAAGGTGTAAAATGGGAAGAAAAGAAATTAGCAATAAATCAATCCATACCATATGATAAAGACTTGGATAGGACAGTTGTGGTTTGATGGAAAGGAAGGTCAGAGTCCAGGGGCTGCTCTACAGGAAGGACTAGCAAACTCCAATAACAGTGTTGAATTAAAGCAGATAATATGAACCTAGGAATTTAGATCTGGAAGTATGGTGGTGATATGTATAGCTAGAAAGAGTTTAGAAAAAGGACCCATTGGGAGTAACATGATGATAACTTGTAGCTTGAAAATGAACTGTGGATGAACCCCCTGGGTCAGGGGAAGATTTTGAAGCTGCCATGATGAATCAGTCAATGTGGAAGGTATACCAGACCACATGGGGGAACTAGGTGGCCCCCATCTTTTCTATCTAATGTGGAAAATAGAAGTATGAGGAGGAATGTTAGGCAAAATTGGAGGTAGAGAACCCAGTATGTTTTCCAAAAGAATCTTCCTCCCCATACCCAGTAATTCACATATTTGTTCAGCTTTATTCTATAAGGAATTTAAAGTAGCATCCAGAACTCATTATGGAGTATTGTGATTAGTATTCTATTCAACTCAGGATTTATTCACAAGTTCTTTTTCTTCAGCCCAACCAAGTGATAATTGCTAGGATTTGCTGAGTACCTTGTATGCCCCAGGAACTGTTATGCTCTATAAACATCAGCTCATTTATTTCTCAGAAGTTTTGTTCTGATTATTTCTAATACTTTTTTCTTGATTCTAAGAGTATATATGACATGTTGAAGTTGTTCAGTAAGTATATGATTGACTAATTATACATAATCATTGAAGAAACTTTAGAAAATGAAAGAAAAGAAGAAAAAAAAAAAAGAACAAGTAATCCCAAAACTCAGATAGATGGGCTCTCCTATTCGTGTATTTCCTTTGAGTCTTGTTATCCTTAAAGTTACTTTTCACAAGACATGCTGATCTTAGAACAGATGTTAGAAGTTGCTTTTTTTGTTTCAAAATTACTAATTCTGAGATATAAATTTGTCCTGCCTTATGTGTCTCTTTCTCCTAAAAGCAGAGGGTAGTCTGTGACTCCATACTAGAGTAGACATCAGACCTGGTGAGAAAAGCTAACCATCCTGCCATCTTCTCGTGCCTCCAGGCTTGCTATGGTATCCTCAAAGTCCCAGAAGGTAGCTGGCTGTGTCGCTCCTGTGTCCTGGGCATTCATCCTCAGTGTCTGTTATGTCCAAAGAAAGGTGGAGCTATGAAGACAACCAGGACAGGTACTAAATGGGCTCATGTCAGCTGTGCCCTGTGGATTCCAGAGGTAAGAATTCATCTAGGCCTGCAAGGACATTTGCTCTTAAGTATTGTTTCCAAGAACACTCAGGCTTTATGGAGATAATCATGTTGGCCCATGTTTCTTGAGTAATAATGCTTTATCTTGAACTCCCTCACATCTTCCTTGGATGCAAATGAACTTACATGTAAGCTCATGCTGAGTAATTTATAGGTGGTGATACCAGTAGTATTAAGCAAATTTGTATGAGAGGACTCACACAAACGATGGGGTATGAGCAACAGATTTTTTAAAGTGATATTTAACTTAACAAATCTTAAGTGTAGCATTTTCATGTGTAACCACAACCCAGACCAAGATGGGGGAGACACCAAAAGTAACAAGAGAACACCCCAGAAAAATCCCTTAGACCTACTTTCCAGTCCTTATCTGGGTCCCCATTACCTAAGAGCAACTGCCTTTTTGATTTCTGTCAGTATAGATTAGTGTTGATGGTATTGAACATTATCTAAATTAAATCATATAGTATGCATTCTTCTGTGACTAGCACACTTGTAGTGTATGTCAGCAGTCATTCCTTTCTATATATGAGTAGTAATCTGTTTTATGGATATACCATGATTAATTTATCCATTCTCCTTTGATGGACATTTGAATTGCTTCCAATTTTAGGCTGTTGAAAATAAAGTGAGTTGCAGCTCTTTTTTCCCACTGTTATGGGTACCTTTAATTTTTGAAGCTTTTTTCAGAACTTGGACTCAACATTTGACTAAGAGCTTCTTTTTTAAAAACTCTGTCCCTATTATTTAATCTGGTCCTTTAGGTGTTGATATTTCCTGAGGACCTGCATACTCACTATGTTGAATAAAAAGGTCTTCCAGGCATTGTTATTCCATTCTTTTTATGGCTGCTTTTTTAAAAACCTGTTTGGACATTTTACTAACATCCTCTTTCTCCAGACTCTATCCATGTTAGCAAATTTGTTAGATAGTTTAACTGTAAGACAACAGAGATTGCAGCATTCCGTTTGTGGGAGAACTGATAATAAATACTGTATCAGTAATCCATTCTCCTTTAAAACTTCCCTGACTTTGTTCTTGCTAATGTCAGTTCCAGAGGAATTCCTATCTACTATAGAACTCACAGAGTTAAACTGAATGTCGATACATGTTATGATTTCTTATGGATAAGAAGTTAGTATTTTTTTTAATTTATTTATTTATTCGTGCATACAGAACTGGGGTACAGGCCAGAGGCTCAGAGGCAGTGAGAGGTTTCACCAGAGACAGAGTGGGGAGCAGAACAGGCAGATCTACGAAGTACACTGCTGAGGGAAGCAGCGGGCGGGCCAGGAGAGGTCTGCCACGCCATGTGGTCACCTCCGGGGCAGGTGGCAGGCGGGAATCGAACTCATGCGGAAGTGGCTTCAGATTCTCAGTGCGTGCTTTAACCCGCTGCGCCACCAGAGAGGGCCAGAAGTTAGTATTTTAAAGAATATTTTGAGTAGTGGTTTCTTTTTCTTACTAAAAACATCCAGCTAATAGACACAGGAAATGAACTCTCATGTTTGCTGCACTGTTTGTCCACAAATCCCCCAGCTAACAGAGCAGGCTTTCTCAGCAGTTGGAATTTAACTCAGAAATAGTTGTGTTTTGTTTTTAAGTAAAACCTTTATCACCAATTGACATTTCCTTATGGTTTCTTGTACCTTTTAGGCTATTCAAGATCTCTCTGATCTTCCTACTCTTCGTTTCTTGATGTGGATATGGCTTGCCTAGTTTAACCATCCTTATTCTGTAGTTATGCACATTTTAAAGTCTCTTTCTTAGAAACTTGTAGTAATATGTAAAAGAAAAGAAAAAGAGAGGGAAAGGGGAGAGGTGAGAAAAAAGCACTTTTTACCAGAAGTTGCTTGATCCCATATTTTCATAAGGAGATAGACTTTTCTTTTTTAAAAAAAATTCTATTTTTTAAAGATTTATTCATTTATGTATACAAGAACTGGGGTACACGCCAGAGATGGGGGTGGTGAGAGGATTCACCAGAGACAGAGTGGGAAGCAGAACAGGCAGATGTATCACAATACACTGCTGAGGTTAGCAGCAGGCAGGTCAGGAGAAGTCTGCACCATGTGTGTCAGCTTCCTGGCTGGGGATTGAACATGTGCTACAATGGCTACAGACAGCCTCGTAATGCTGTGCTTTAACCCGTTGGGACACCAGAGAGGGCTTCTTCTCTTTGCTTTGCTTTGCTTTGCTTTGCTTTGCTTTGCTTTGCTTTGCTTTGCTTTGCTTTGCTTTGCTTTGCTTTGCTTTGCTTTTCTCTTCTTTTCTTTTCTTTTCTCTTCTTTTCAAAGCATCCCTTTCCTTTCCCCTCTCTCTCAACCATTAATTTCACTTTGAAGCTACTTTGGCTGAAAGAGTAGACTGTTGATAGTTAGGTTATTTTAAAGACTTCTGTTTTAAAATCCTGTCTATCATCCTCATACTTTGTATTTATATTGCTGCAATCTATTCATTACACAATTGCCTTAACTTTCCAACAACATCATGCTTCTTTATAAACAACTGTCACTGTCTGTTTTTTAATCCTTTGTTGATGAAATGAAAGAAAAAAAATACATTGCACCACCTGTAACATGTGATAGGTACTAGATTTTGTGAATTTTAATTTCTTTCTTTAGTAGCTTCCTTTGATTCATTAAAGCATAACTGGTCTCCACTCCTGCCTCTCATCCTATATATGAATTGCTTACATAACTAGAAATGATTGAAGATCTGAGAAGTGGCTAAAGACAGATTTTATTTATTATTGATTCTATAGTAACCTTCAGGGACATAGTTAATGTCATTGTTTTTATTTTTTGATCTTCATGTAATAACATAATTTATAGTTCATGAAAAGTACTTCTAGAATGCTTTGGTGTCTCTGGTTTACGGTGATGTTTTATTTGTAGGTGAGCATTGCTTGCCCTGAAAGAATGGAGCCCATAACAAAGGTTTCTCACATTCCACCCAGTCGTTGGGCTTTAGTATGCAGTCTGTGCAAGTTGAAGACAGGGGCTTGTATTCAGGTAAGTATCCATGAAAAGGTAGAATGGGCCACCACAGAATTGGCCATGCTCACCGGCTCCTGTCTCCTCCCTTCTTATCTCCCTAAATTCCTCTCTTCCTGCCATTCTCCAGAAACCTCCCACTCTGAGATCATTTCTGGAATGCCTATTTTGGATGTTTCCATGGAACCTTCAACTTACTCTTTTCAGTCACCACACTGACATAGGTGGGAAAAAATGCAATTCTAAAATAGCTAGGCCTACCTATGTTCTTGTGGCTCATCCGCTGACTAATGGATGAACTTGGGTTCCTGGATAATTTGACAGATGACCCTGTGCTAAACTAAGTGCATCTCATTTTGGTAGAAGAAGATACATCTGAATGGGTATATTCTTTTTTTTTTTAAGATGTATTTATGCATACAGAACTGGGGTACACGCCAGAGGTGCAGGGGCAGTAAGAGGATTAACCAGAGACAGAGTGGGGAGCAGAACAGGCAGATTGTTGAAGTACACTGTTGAGAGGAGCAGCAGGTGAGATAGGAGAGGTCTGCTATGCCGTGTGGGTCACCTCCAGGGCCAGGAATCGAACTCTCACTGAAGTGGCTGTGGCTAGCTTGCAGTGTTGGCGTCCTAACCCATTGCATCACCAGGGAGGACCTGAATGGGTATATTCTAGTGAGTAGGTTTGAAGTCATTCTCATAAGCACATTTGTTGAATATGGTATGTATATAAAGTTTTGTGAGATATCTTGGCTGAGGGAATTCAGCTGCTTCAAAAAGAAGCACTAGCTGGTGCCCCTACCAGCAGCAGTTGTAGGAGTGGAAGACAGAGTTTGATGGGGCTGGGAGAGCCAGTTACCTCCACAAAAGCAGAAGAGTTAACCCTCCATAATAGGCTTATTTTTTATTCCAAATGCAGCAAGGTGACTTTGTTGGTAAGAGGGAAAGGACTGACTTTCCATTCCCCAGACCTGCTGCATAGGAACTTCAGGTGGGTTGTAGTTAAATTTTCCTGCTGACCTCTTTCACAGAAAAAGGGCCGTAGCATAAAGACTGTGACTATAGGTGCTTTGTGAGGTTCCTTGCTGTTTGGTTCATCCTGTAGATTTCTTGCTGCAGACCTGGAATCAGCCTCCCTCCAAATAACCATAGTGCTTACAGTCTGTTAAGGGAAGCCAGATAAAACACAGGGAAAGTCAAGTAACAGAAGTGATATCTCCCCTCTGATCTTGCAAACACTTAGGGATGAGAGAACAGAAGGGCTGGTGGCCACTGTTGGTGCTAGAGTTTAAATATACAAAACTTGAAGAATGTTTTATACTTAAACAATTTAGGACATTGTTTCAGTGACCAAATTTTGAGAAAATTGCTCTGATACTATCCACTTGTCTGTTCATGGATTTTTAGGGGCTGGAAACTGTCTCTGTAGCAAACACAAACTCCTGAGAATATATGCATCAGGCCCTTGGTGTTCCCAGCCAGGTGTCAACTACTTTTGAGGAGGATACACTATGGGGGAATGACAAAAGTTTTCTTTAGAGGGACAAGAAGTACCTTAATTCATAAATTAATGCTCTGGTGTCCTTTTAAAGATTTGTACTCTAGCCAACTGTCTGATCTAATGCTCCTCCAATAGAAATTACCCCTACATATGTGAATGTGTACAGGGAACATTTTCCTTCTGATGAAGGTATTTTAAAAGCTTGTTTGAATATATAAAAAATTATCTCTTTTTCCCCCTTTAAAAGTAAATAAACTGCAATGAGATACCACTTTATGCTCACTAGGGTAGTAGTAATCAAAAGGGCATACAATAGCAGTTACTGGCAAGAATGCAGAAAAGTCGAAACACTTGTGACTTGCTGGTGAGAATATAAAATGTGCAGTCATAGTAGAAGATAGTTTGGCTATTTCTCAAAAAGCTAGATATAGAGTTATCATATGGCCAAGCAATTCTACTTTATAGTACAAATCTGCAGTTTGAAAGGTCCCCAAAAACACCCTCAGATTTAATAATTCACTAAAACTCACAGAATTTAGAAAACCCATTGTATTCACAGGAAGCTATTACAGTGGAAGAATACAGATTAAACTCAGTCAAAGGAAGAGATGCATAAAGCAGAATCTAGGGGAAAACCAGGCATAACTTCCAGTTGTCGTTTCCAAGTAGTCACATGGGAAGTGCTGCTGTCTTCAAGCAATGATGTATGACAGTACACATAAACTATTGCCAGCCAGGAAAGCTCACCCAAACCTTGGTTTTCAGAGCTTTTAGTAGAAGTTAACCTCATAGACACATGTCTAAACTTAGTCTCCAGTCCCTGCAAAGGTGAGGTTCATAATCACATTGCCCAAAGCCCCCACCATAAATCACATTGTTAGCACAGAATATAAGACATATTCTAGTCCCGCCCCCCCCCACACACACATACAGGACATTCCAAGGACTTAGAGTTTGCCTCTTAGAAGCTGAGGACAAGGGCCCAAACCTTTCATTGGGCAACTCTGTTGCACATTGCCAGAGAACAAGCAAAACATATGTCCACGCAAGAACTGTACACAAATGTTCATAGCAGCAATATTTCATAATATCCAACAAGTGAAAATAACCCAAATGTCCATAGACTGGTGAATGAATAAAGAAATGTTGTATAGCCATAGAATGGAATAATATTTGACCATAATTTTTTAAAAAGATTTATTTATTTATGCATACAGAACTGGGTTACAGGCTAGAGGTGCATGGGTGGTGAGAGGCTTCACAAGAGACAGAGTGGGGAGCAGAACAGGCAGATCGACGAAGTACACTGCTGAGGGGAGAGATGGGCAGGTCAGGAGAGGTCTGCCACGCCATGTGGTCTCCTCCGGGGCAGGCGGGAATCGAACTCATGCGGAAGTGGCTTTAGCTTCTCAGTGCTGTGCTTTAACCCGCTGCGCCACCAGGGAGGGCCTGACCATAATTTTTTAACTGCTACAACATAGGTGAGCCTAGAAAACATGCTAAATGAAAGAGGGCAGATAAGGGCCTTCCCTGGTGGCACAGTGGGTTAAAGCACAGCACTAAGAAGCTTAAGCCACTTCCGCATGAGTTCGATCCCCGCTTGCCCTGGAGGAGATCCACATTGTGTGGCAGACCCCTCCTGGCCTGACCCGCTGCTCCCCTCAGCAGTGTGCCTGTTGATCTGCCTGTTCTGCTCCCCACTTTGTCTCTGGTGGGTCCTCTCACCCTCCACATCTCTGGCCTGTACCCCAGTTCTATATGAATAAATAAATAAATCTTTAAAAATAAAAGAGGGCAGATAAAAACAGCCACACAGTATGTGATTCCATGCTGGAATTACGTAGTGGTTATGGTTGCACAACTTTGTAAATACACTAAAAACCATTGAAATGTATACTTAAAAGTGGTGAGTTTTATGGCATGAAAATTATATCTCAGGTCCTCCCTGGTGGCGCAGCGGGTTAGGATGTAGCACTGCAAGCAAGCCACAGCCGCTTCAGTGCAAGTTCAAACCCTAGCCCCGGAGGTGACCGGGGCTAGGGGGGTGATATGGCAGACCTCCTGACTAGCCCGCTGCTCCTCTCAGCAGGGTACTTCATCAAGCTGCCTGTTCTGCTCCCCACTCTGTCTCTGGTGAATGCTCTCACCGCCCCTGCACCTCTGGCTTGTACCCCAGTTCTGTATGAATGAATAAATCTTGAAAAAAAGAAAAAAAGAAAAAAGAATATCTCTTAAAAGCTGGTTTGTTTTTTTTTAAAGGGCATGACAATACTCCATCACCTTAAATGCTTACAGAAGAAATAGGTGAGATGTAGAAAGGGAGGTTAGTTAATAGAATACATCAAATATATGTTCTTTTTTTGAAGCTAGATGGATTTTATGACAGAAGTTCCTAAGGACATTCCATTTTCATCCAGCTGTCCAGCTCTTATTTGTATATTGCCTTTGATTTTGAGTCAGTTATACTTGTCTCTACGCTCTATAGATTTGACCAGAGAGACATGATCATTTTCAATTTCCCCATAATATCATTTTTATGCCACACATTCATCCCCTTGAGTAGAAAACAATTCTTTTGCTTTCTCTTCCCACATTTTTATCAGTTATTAAGCAACAAAATATATACCCAGTATTTCTAATCTTTTAAAATGTCTTCTGCTACTTGTCTTTTAAATTACTGTCTAGTCTCTTTTGTATTTTCATCCTCCTCATTTTTATGAAGCTTTTCAAATAAATGTTAAGTTTTATGGGTATATATTTCAATGTAATCTAAACAGAGTTTTCCAGTAGAGCTATCCAAAGCTGGGATGCGTGTCCAGGAATGCAGTGAGTGGCTAGATAAGCACTTATTTGAAAAGTAGGAGGGCTTCCCTGGTAGTCAGAGGGTTAAAGCACAACACTACGAAGCTACCCAAAGCCACTGCAGTATGAGTTTGATCCCTGGCCAGGGAGGTAACCCACATGTGTGGTAGACCTCTCCTGTCTCACCCACTGCTCCCCTCAGCAGTGTATTTTAGTCATTCCACCTGTTCTGCTCTCCACTCTGGTGAATCCTCTCAGCCCACACCCCAATATTGTATGGATAAATAAATTAAACCTTTTTTTTTTCTTTAAAGAGAAGAAAGGTAGAAGTGGTGTTGGGAGACAGTGATAATGAAGGTAGAAAACCAGGTACTCTAAAAAGAGTACCATCCCACCCAATCCTGTGTATGTATCTTTTCTTCCTGCAGTGCTCCGTGAAAAGCTGCATAACTGCCTTCCATGTCACCTGTGCCTTTGAGCACAGCCTCGAGATGAAGACCATCCTAGATGAAGGAGATGAAGTGAAGTTCAGGTCATACTGCCTCAAGCACAGCCAAAACAGACAAAAACTTGGAGATCCGGAGTTCCCCTCACACAGGGCTACAGAACAAAGCCAAGCCAAAAGTGAGAAAACCAGCCTACGGGCACAGAAGCTTCGGGAGCTAGAGGAGGAGTTCTATTCCCTGGTCCGTGTGGAAGATGTAGCCAAAGAGCTGGGGCTGCCGACACTAACTGTGGACTTCATCTATAACTACTGGAAGCTGAAGCGGAAAAGTAACTTCAATAAGCCATTATTTCCTCCAAAAGAGGATGAAGAAAATGGCCTGGTACAGCCAAAAGAGGAGAGTATTCACACTCGCATGAGAATGTTCATGCATCTACGGCAAGACCTAGAGAGGGTAAGGTCACCAGCTATGACTCGTGTTCTAGGTCTTGGTCTACATAGACGTGAAGGTCCACTTCCAGCTTAAAAACAAAAAGTTAATCCCATTTATAGTGGGGTATTTTGTGTCTTTTCTTATCATCTGCTTTAATATTAGCCCCAGACATTGGGCTCTGCTTAAATTTGGCAGACATACTCAGAGAATTGGAGAGTCCTCTGAACCTTAAACATGAAATACTCAATTTGGCTTACTTTTTATTCACTATTGAACCTAAATTGACTCAGGTACATTTTATTGACATAAGACTGCAGACTGAAAAAGAATTTTTGTTTTATTCAGGAAAATACTAGGTCATGTGTCTCAAACTCAGCACTGTTGACATTTTGGGCAGGATAGTTCATTGTTGTAGGAAACATAAGATGTTAGCAACAGCCCTGGCCTCCACCCTTAGATGCCAGTAGCATATCCTCCCTCCCCCAACACATACACATACTCAGTTGTGACAATCAAAAGCATTTCCAGACTACTATACACCCCCTGGAGTCAAAATCATCCCTGGTTGAATGCCACTGCAGTAGGTGGGTATTAGTAGGTAGGCATTAAATTAGAAACAGCAGAGTTTCAAGAATATGTTAGGCACTGTGTTGTGTTTGTCTGGAGAGTTTTGTAATCAAGTACAGTTATAGAGATGGCTTGTTTTTTCCTCTCTGCTACCATAATTTGGAAGGGGACTGATAGATTTGGCTGACTTTGTAAAATTTGAAACGTGCATATATAACCTTTACTATGTACCAACACTGTTCTAAGTATTTTATTTTAAAAAAAGATTTATTTGTGCGTAGAAGAACTGGGGTGTAGGCCAGAGGTGGAGCGTGAGAGGGTTCACCAGAGAGGGTGAGGAACAGAAATACACTGAAGTACACTGCTGAGGGGAGCAGTGGGTGAGACAGGAGAGGTCTGTTGTGTCATGTGGGTCACCTCCCTGGCCAAGGATCAAGCTCAGGCCACAGAAGTAGTAGCATAATAGCGCTGAGACTTAACCCCTATGCCACCAGGGAGACCCTATTCAAGCATTTTATAAGTATTAACTCATTTAATCTTAAAATGGTTCTTACAGATCGATAAACTGGGGCACAAAGAGGTTGAGTAATTTGTCCATGGTGGGGTATATGAGAAAGTGAGGAGTTCACCCTATGGTTGTGGAAATTTGGCTGAGCTCAAAGTGTGAGTAAAAAAGCCACTTCAGTCTTCCCAGCAGATGTTCAATCTCCTGGTCCAACATTCATTAGAAAACCATAGTGGATGTAAGTAGCATTGCCATCATCTGTAGTCAGGTATCTAAAAATAGGGGTAAAATGTTAAATCAACATTCATGCTTCCCAGTCTGGCTCTGCATATAAATACTGAGCCAATAGCAATGTAGAGAAAATGATTTCAGGTGGTGACTTTGGAATATTTTTCGTGTGCAACTGATTGATATGGGAGCTGTGATCCCATGATTGACCATGCTACATGCTATATGGCTCTCATCGTTTTATCTTTTCTTATCCCACTTCCCATCCCCGGTGACTTTAGTTGTCTTAATTTTAGCCAACCAATTTCAGATGTTGGGTTTGTATAACATGACAAAAATCTCTTATCTGGGGGTTGGGCTTTCAGGTTCGAAATCTGTGCTACATGATAAGCAGGCGAGAGAAGCTGAAACTGTCACAAACCAAACTGCAAGAACAAATCTTCAGTTTGCAAGTCCAGCTTGCTAACCAGGAAATTGCTGCAGGTAATCTCTCTATTACAGATGTCCTATCTAATATGTAGACTCTGGTTACATCCTCTCTAACAATTTAAATTTTATGTCAGTTATTCTGCTTAAAATCTTTTGAAATTCTTATATCTCATTTGCCCTAGTCCAAACCTGATAGAACATTGCCCACTTCATTGTCAACTTCTGTGGGTCTGGGGGAAGTTCAGGTCTCTGACAGAATTTAGGAGTCATTAGTTGGAGTCATGAAATTATTTTATAAGTGTCAGATTTATTTAGAAATGAGTATGATAGGATTTAACCTCAATTTACAGAAAACATTGAATACCAAGGTTACACATCTTAACAATAGTCTGCTAAAACAAATACTTAACTAAAATCTCTAAAACTTGTTGACTAAGAACTGAGCTAGATGACAGAGCAGCCAGAAAGACAGCGCCCCTCCCTGCAGGATATGCTGGTGAAAGAGACTGGTGAGCATAATTACAGTACCCTAAGGGTAGGGAGCTTGACCGGAGTGATAACAACAGATTCAGTGACATATTTAACCCCATGTACCTCATTTAAAACAGAGGTCAGTGGCCAGAGCCTGGGCAGCCAGCAATCATTGGCAGGATGTACAGAATCCATCTCCTGCAAGAGCCAGCCACTGATGGAAAAGACAAGAACCAGGGCAGAGCAGGAAGGAGCCTCTGCATGTGGAGGAAATTGGCCCCTAGACTATATGACTTCTGATTGGTGGGAGTCAAATTTTCTTATGGTTTTGGCATTAGCAGATGGCAGCTTCTAGTAGAGACAGGAGCTGTGAGTGTTCGGTGTGTACCCTTACAGAATAAATGCTACCCACTGAAGCACCTAAGAGTTGTCCTTTCTATAGGCCATTTTTATGAGACTACAGTAAAATGATAATGACCAAATGTCAAGTCCATATGCAAGGACTTTTTTGGTAGTTTGGTAGTGCTTTTTTAGTTCAGAGCACTCAAAATAATAGGAGGAAAACCTGTTAAGATTTTCAAGTGATGAACCAGGTAACTGTTTGCCAGTACTACTCAGGCTAAACCTTTAGCAGACCTTTGGCAGCAATGTCATGATTCTTTTCTCTGACATTGCTACTACAAAATCTGTTCCATGCCTCCATGAAATTGTTTTTGGTTAAGGACATAAAATGAACTGTAACCACCCCCTGCCACCTCTTTTAAAGCCCAGTTAAAACACATACCTACAGACTCTTGCCCCTGTGCTAATCCAGACTGTATTTGACTTGCTTTAGGAAGATCTGGAGAGATTAGAGGGTAGAGTGTGAAATACCCATTTAAGGCGATGCATCCTAAGTGATGTGTGATATCTATCCCTGCACCCACACAGACACACAAATAGGGAGACCTTGTTCTAAGCCATTGATAGTGAGATTCTTTTCAGAAATGGAAGGGCCATCAGAGATAGAGGTGTAGGAGGCAGCACAATCGTGTTCATGATCATTTTATTTTCTGAGAGAGCAGAAGTGAACAGGTTGATAATCACCTAGCAAACAGTGGCTTTGCTGAGTTTTCCACCCCACCCAAATCTCTTGTTCTACTCACTATATCATGGGGTATGTGGGTGTGGGTGTGTGGGTGTAAAACAAGTGCTTGTTAGACAGTTTGAAGAGTGGGTATGTGAACTTTCTCTGCCATCAGCACGTACTCTGTTATTAAAATCAGTTGTTAAAATGAATCTTTCTTTTTGATCTCAGGACTTCCTTTGACAAATGCACTAGAAAACTCATTGTTTTACCCACCGCCAAGAATTACCTTAAAGTTAAAAATGCCCAGATCAGCCTCGGAAGACTGCAGAAACAGCTCTACAGAGCCTGATCACGGACCCCTCTCTCCTGAAAGCAGCCCCCCTGTTCTCAATATAAGGAGCACGCAGGAGTCACTAGAAATGAGAATGAAGTCATACCCAAAGTATCCACTAGAGAGCAAGAATAACGGTTTGATGGCCAGTCTTGGCCATTCTAGGAGTGAAGCAGTAGATCCTAGTCCTGCTTGGAGAACTCCTCCAGAGTTCTGTCATGGGCAGTCAGTGGGTAAGCCTCTGGTCCTTCAGGCTGCCCTTCATGGGCAGTCTTCCATTGGTAATGGGAAAGGCCAGCATAGCTCCAAGTTTACAAAATCCAATGGCCTGGAGAGCAGCTGGTCAGGGAATGTCACCCAAAAAGATAGTTCTAGTGAGCTATTCAGTGACCGTGAGTCTGTACTTAGTTCCCACTTGACCAGTCAGAGCAGCTTTAGAAAAGCTACTGTGGAACACTTCAGCAGGTCCTTTAAGGAGGCCACCAACAGGTGGGTTAGGCCCACAGAGGACCTCCAATGCTATGTGAAGCCAACCAAGAATATTAACCCCAAAGAGCAGCTATGGGGTAAGCAGTTTTTCAGGCGTTCTGCAGGGAAAGCTCCATATCAAGAAAACGATGGGTATTGCCCAGATTTGGAGCTGAGTGATTCAGAACCAGAAAGTGATGGGAATAAAGAAAAAGTCAGGGTACGAAGAGATAACTCAGACAGGGAAAATCCTCCCCATGACTCTAGACGGGATTGTCGGAGTAAATGCAAGCCACATCCCCTTTCCCATAGTTCAATGCAGAGGTGATTTTAAAATTCCAAGAATAACCTTTGCCTTTCCCTCTTACATTGGGGAAAACTCATACACCAAACTGATTCTAATATGTTTTTGGAGTAAATGTAGTAAGGAGGATAGAATGTTTCCACAATAAACTGACTTCCAGTTTTGAGACCATTTCAAGTCTAATTTTCATGAATATATTATAAAAATTGCAGACTGTCTGAAGGTTTTTGCCAGAGGCTATTAAGAACACCTGAGCCCAGAGTATTTGCTCAGTAAATACTAGAGGGCAGCTTTCTAGTTACATTAACACATTTATGAGCATACATGTTAATGGTCCTTGCATTGTTAATGCATTTGCAAGAGACCATGGTTATCAGACACTAAGATGACTTATCTTTTGAAGCTACAGCATCTGACTCCCAGAGTTCTGTATAAGGACGTTTCTAATTCTACTGGTTTCTGGAAGCCCTCTTTGGGGAAAAATCAGGAACCAACATCTCAGATACTGTCATACTCACTACCCTCTTCCTTTGCTCTGCACAAGGTTGAGTTCCTTTCACAGTATCTTAACTTACTGAGTCAGTACTCCTGATGCTTTCAAGTATCCAGTGCCTGTTCCTAGACTTGCTGGGGACGCACTTATAACTATTTCGCCCAGCTAACAAGCATAAAAGGCTAACTTGTGGATAGTGTTTACAAAAGTACAAAAGTACTACTTCTAAGGAAAATGCTCTGATTTTCTCAGTTTAGGCATTTGTGAAGGATCCCAGAGCCTTTCCCAAAGTGAGACCATTTCTGGGGGATTTGTACCAGGTCAGGGTTTTTGTGTTACTGTTTTCAAATAAGTTCAACTTAAATAAGTTTGGCTGACAGTTTTTGTATACCTGCTTTAATGTTTATAAAATTTTTATTGAGCTATAATTAAAAATATAGTAAAGTGCACAGAGGTTAAGTATTCTTACCTGCTTTAATTTTGAAACAGATTTTTATTATCAAACAGAATTTGAAAGCATGTGTTTAACACATGGATATAATTTAGCTTTGTACCAACTTTGAATCCAAGGCAATTTCCCAAACAAAAAGGCTGGAGCCATTTTTCAGAAGTTGCTTATACCTGTTCCCAAACTATCAGCCTTGACTACTTTCTAGGAGGAAGAGAATAATCACATGGGGGTGGGGATTAACATGTCTGCTTCCCATTTACTGAAGGGGAAGATGTTACAATTTTCAAAATGTGAAGCTGACTATAATTCTCTGCTCTCTTTTCTTCTTAGCCTTAAATTAATATTCTCTTCTAGTTTGGGAAAGTGTAGTGGGAGTTTTCAAACTTAAAAGGCCATTTTAGATTTTTTAAGTTGCTTACTGGTGAAACAGCCAAGCTACATTAGGTGCCCATTGATACAGGCTGGGGCCACCTCCTCTCTGTCATTAGGAGAAACTCAGCAGGTCTCTCTCCACTATTGTTGTTACAGCCTTGTTAATGGGTTCATTTGCTCTTGGGTTTATTCCCCTCCCTTTTTGACAACTTCTATGTTTTTCCTCTCTTTTGGCTACATCTTCAGAATGTTTCTTTTGTGCCTGTATACATGTGTGAACATGCTCTAGTATGTGTGATAGGTGTCCTGTATTTTGTTTGAATGGAAGAGTTATGGATTATCCAAAATGAGGAAGAGAATTTCTCCAATTTATGCACTAGGTTTCTGTGCTTTTTCTTTGAGTTCTTCTGGGGTAGATTCTAATACACCTTCATAATAATGAAATTATAATGGAGCTGTGTTGTGAATTCCTTCTGTTAGAGGCCAGTGCAGTAGCCTATGTCCTTTCATGCCTTTCAATTCTGAGTGAGTGGGAAGAAAAGCAAACATTGAAAAGTGCTTCAGCCAAATTCCATGTATAATGCCATTGGGAAGAGTATTGACTAATTTCAGTCAGGGAAATATAGTTGTAATATTTTTACAGAATTTTCCTAGCTAAATGAAGGAGCCTTCAGTTGTATAAAGTTCAATTGCCCCAAAATGTATTTGCTACATTTTGCTGTTGTTTGAAGTATTACCTCTTAACCTTTGTTAATTTTTTTCATTTTGTCTTATATAGTCCAGTTTTCCAAGATAAACTCAGTCTTTTTTCAAATGTCACCTTTTTACCAATACTTTTTCATTAAATTATGAAAACTGCTAACTACTGTCAGTGTGGTAATTTTTTATTTTGGAATGTGGGTGTTAGAAAATTTAATATATGTTCATTTTCTTTTTTAAAATCTTACTCATCAAACACTGATGTGTTTAAGGTAGAAGGAAGAGGAGGAATTAAATGTTTAGATGCACAGATTCATGATTTGTATCAATAACATGGAGCAGAAAGAACTGGGAATTTGAGCTCTATCCAGAAACCATGATTTCCTTAGGCTAAGATAATATCTTAGAATCATTATAAAAAAATCACCAGGTAAAATGGTCCTACCTAAATTCAAAAAATTTGGAAGGCTTAGATCAGATATCACTTAAACATACATTATTTTCTGTATTCATTCTGTTTGCAGCCACTAAGTATATTGATGTTACAGGAGTTATGTACATGTCATGGGAATGCTTTGAAGGCATTTGCAAACATTTTCATTGTGTTTTGAGGAATGTACTTGCCCAAAGGTCATTGGGTAATTTAATTGTGAAAATAGTTAAAGGATAAGGTGGTTTCTTTCTCTCCCCTTTGCTCCCTATCCTCTCCCCCTTCTTGTGAATGCTAGTTGTTTTGATAGAGAAACAAAACTACAAATATGCCCTTGTAGCTACAAAAGCTATTGGGTTTATACTAATGTCTGTATTTCCAATGGGAGGTAAACCTTTGTCTTTGTGTGAAGAAACTTTTAAATTCAGAGACTAAAGACACAGTCTTGGGAAGGGGTTTTCCTCCAGGATTTCACAGTCCTCAGATTACTTGCTTACCCTTAAGAGTAAAGGGAAAATACATGATAGTGTAACTGGAAGTCTGGAGCTCAGGCTGCTTATCACCACAAAGTGCCAATAAAGTAAAGGCAGGAATTGAATCTTTAAGGTGTATTTTAATCAGATAGCTGGCAATCTGGAAGACAGAGGGTTGACACCCCAAAGAAGCCAACTGAACATTTCATTTCCAACTGGCTTTCTATAGTGAATTGAACCAAGACAGTACAGCAGTAAGCAGGCCTTCACCACTACCAGTAGCTCATCATCACTCTCCTGGACACCTGGCTTCAAGCACATCCCATTGTATTGAATCTGGTCTACAGATAATAATGCTGGCTTCCCACACTCCTTCAGACGTGTCCTTGAGTTTAAAAAAAAAAATTAACTCAGAGCAGACAGGCCATAAAAACTGTGTGTGCTGATTTCCTGCTGTACCATGCACAGTGTCCTACCCAGTCCCCCTCTTTCCTAGCTCCTAAGAATAGGAGTAGAATGTTAATTTACCACCAGATAATTTTCATGTAGTACCAAAAAATGCATCTTATTTTTTTAAAGTATTTATTAGATTATCATAATCTTTCCAAATTTTATGGAGTCATCTGTATGTTGTATTTTCAAAAGTAACTCAGGTTAATAAATAAAGGCCTACTCACATGGGAGTTCTGGTGACACTGTTCAGCACAAAGGGGGCTTGTGTGAATTCAACCTTTTTACTTATGGATTAGAACAAATTACATGAAGATAGTTGTCCTTTAAATGAGTTGGGAAGAGAAGTACTCAAGCTTCTAGACTTGTGTCTCCTATTCTATCCAGTCACTGGTAAATTCTATGACCTGATCTTGCCTAAATAATAGTAACTCATTTTGATAAACTCTCAGAGCACCCCAATTCATATTGGGTTACCTGACTGTGAGTCCTCACCTAGTGCTTAAATGGGCTTAAGATTCAACTGCAGGCACACACAAAAGTTAATAATGGCTTTATTTACAAGAGAAAGGGAAAATTAATAACTCCTGGAAAAAAGAGAAAGAGAGATAAGTTGGTTAATGTATCCTACTAGTTCTCCTGACCTGGAACTCCAATAGCACCCTGAAAACCAGTGAAAACCCAAGAGACAAACTGCAAGGGCAAGAGATGCCCCCCTCCAAAGCCCACATATCTGGTTTTATACCCAAACATTGCTCCTTAACTCTACCCTCAGGTCCCAGCATGCTTTCCTTAAGGACGCTGGGATTTGTAGTTCAGTGTCTGGGGTGAGGACAGAGTCCACAATACCTGCATCTGTAGAGTTCATTCAGGACATCCTTTCCCCCTAAAAATTTCTCATCTTGTTTTATTTCTCTGTTGGTTTCTTTTTTTCTTTTTCTTTCTTTCTTTTTTTTAGATCTAACTTCCCATCCAGATACTGCCATCTCATCTTACTCAGATGAGTTTGGGTGTAAGTGTTCCAGGCTCAAGACCTGGATACTTCAATCTTTACATTTCTTTCCCTTCTCCTCACTACTCCCACCCCACACTTGCAATTTCATTTATTTTAACTAATAAATGTCAGGTTATAAACAAGCAGGAAAGAACTACCTTTTGAGTTTGTAAAGTGAAATCATTAAGCTGCTTCCATGTATCACACGTGGACATAGGCACTATTTTAGTCCTTTCTCCCATATGATGACAAAAATTTCATGCCAAGAATTGCTGACATTTTGAAAATTGTAATCCCATTGAATTAATCACCTCAGCCTCAAAAACTAAAGACACTTTAGATTGAACATTTACAATCTTAGGTTTTCAACTGCTTAGGAAATACAATGTTACATACTTAATCCTGCTTCAAGTAAGCCACACATATGTACCAGGATGCTGGTGACTTCTCATCCTAACTTTTCTACTTTCCAAGACAGGATCTCTACTTGATTCTGACCCCTTTGCTCCAGCTCAGCAGACAGGTGACCATAACAATAAAACCAACAATGGTGCTGACAAGCCTTTTTCCCTTAGTGGTAACAATGAGCAAGATCAAACAGGAATGTCTGTGTCTTTGGGGAAGAATTTATGCCAGTTCCCTTGTCCCCCAGTCCTCAAAAATGGACTGAGAACTACAAATGCAAAAGTCAGTTGTCTAAAGGTCAGTTTCAAGACAGCCATTTAGATCCCTTAGGGAAGCCACCCAAGACCAAAACCTTTGGTAGGACAAACAAGACTTGTTTGGGACCACTCAGAGCTTCAGATAATATGAATGGCAATATTCATTGTGCTTTTTCTCTGTATCAGGTCCTTTGCTAATGAAGCCTTTTAATGAACTACTTTATATTTAGTTCTCGTGCCAAAAACCATATGAAGATGGTGCTCCATTTGATACATGTGAAAACTGAGGCCAAATGGTTAGAAGATAGTTGTCAGGCCTCCACAGCCAGTATATAGCAGTACTAGAACCTGGAAGGTTACCTTTACAGCTCATATTCTTGGACACATTGTTTGACTGCTGCCCTCTAAGCCCCCTTTTCTACATTTTCTAAGGTTACCCTGAGATGTAATCCTCATCAGGTTCAGGAAATTCCCTTCTTAGTTTGCTGATTATTATTACCAGGAATGGATGTATATCCAGATATGGCAAATACCCTCACAATGGGTACTAGAACTTCAACATGAATTTGTGTGAAAACAAACATTCCTTCTATAGTAATTTCCAACTGATATTTATCCCAGAAATGCATGGTTGATGTAACAGTTGGAAAAGATCAGTATAATTTTCTGTATCTTAACATCTACAAAAAAATCTATAGCTAATACCATATGTATTTTGCTCTAATCTCAGATGACCTGATTGTCTCTATAGAAAATCAGGTAGAATCTCCCCTCCCCCACCCCAAAGCTACCAGTACTAATAAATGAGTCTAGCATTGCTGCAGCTTAAAAGGTCAGTTTTTTAAAGTTGTATTTTATATACTAACAAGGAACAATCAGAAATTGAATTTTTTTAAATGCCATTTATGATGACACCAAAAAATATGAACTATTTAGGTATAATTCTGGCAAGAGATGTGAGAGAACTGAATAGTGACACATACAAAGCATTGCTCAGAGAACTAGAAATCTAATAATTGGAGAAATATACCATACCCATAAATCAGAAAGTTCAGAATTATTAAGATGTCACTTACCCTCAAATTGGCCTATATATTAAATAAAATTCCAGTAAAAATTATGCTAGCTTTGGGGATAGGGGTTAGAATCGACAAACTGGTTTTAAAGCTTTATCCTCTGAAAATGGAAAGGACTTAGAGTAAGAAAAAACATTTAAAATGAGGAAAATTAAGTTAGAGAAATGACACTACATGATTTCAAAACATTTTAAAGCTACAGTAATTAAAACTCAATTGGTATTAAGATAGGCATGGATGGAGCAGAACAAATTCAAAAGTAGACCCACACATGTCTGGGCAACTGATTTTCAACAAGTTGCACAGCATATTTAGTGAAATAGAGGATCATACTCAACAACTCTAAATTTGAAAGCTAAAACTATAGAGCTAGACAAAAACAATCCTTTAGGCCTTTAGATTTCTTATATACCATACCAAAAGCACTTTCCATAAAAGAACATCCTGGTAATTGCGCATCATCAAAATTAAAAACTGCTACATGTTGAAAAGCACTATTAATATGATGAAAAAAGAACTGACAGAAGGGAACAGATTTGCAAGTTGTTGTAGAGGCATCTATTGAATCGACCATGTCAAGAATCTTTAATTTACTAGCAAAAAGAGCAAGTAATCTCCACAGGCATTTTAGTAAAGACATAACGTATGGCAAATACATAGAAAGATGCTCAACACCATTAGTCATTAGGGAAATGCAAATTAAAAGCACTACACTACCCTATTGTAGTAGGCAAAATTAAAAAGACACATGCAAAAATCGCCATACTAAATGATGGTGAGGATGTATTTGAACTGTCATGTGGGAAGTGGGAATGTAAAATGGCACTTGTCAAGAAGTGTGGAAGTTTCTTACAAAGTTAAGCACACACCTACCCTAGGATATAGTCATTCTGCTCTTAAACATTTACTTGAGAGAATTGTGAGTAAATGTTCATATAAAGACACAAGGTTTCAAAGTGGCTTTATTTGTAATAGCCAGAATTGGAAACAACTCAAATATCCACCAGTACTTGAGTGGATAAATAAGTTGTGGTGCTTACATAGAGGGGTACCTCAATAATAAAAAGGAATAAATAA